GTTTTTTCCTACGACAGACAACGTCTACGTCAACTTTTTGATCATGAAAACTAACCTCAAAAAAATTATAAGAATTTGATTTGATTATGTCTATTGTTTTTTAATTGTTTTTGAATTTTAGTTCTTTTTAGAGACATAAGGGGTTATAATAGGGCTCTACGTTGGGAAAACAATATCTAGAGGACCTTTCAACGAACATACCTTGCTTTAGTTGAAACCTCCGAACTCAACTTCTAGTGCCGAAAAATTGATCTTTAATTATGGGAATGCATAAGGCACCTTTTAAAATCAATATAGATTAGCAAAATATTTAAAGCCTACTTTGAAGCATAAAACACAGTCCTACATTTTTCCTTTGTAAGAATGAAATGTAGAGGACCTGCTAAACTAAATTTTTTCCTATAACAGACAAAGCCTACCTCAACTCCTTGATAATGAAAATTAACCTCAAAAATGTATAAACAAATTATTTATATTTTTTCTATTGTTCTGGTTTCTGTATAGCAATTCTTTTAAGAGGCATAAGGAGTCACAATTGGGTTTTCCGTTGAGAGAACAATATCTAGAGGAGCTTAGAAAAAATATTTCTTTTTTTAGTAGAAACTTCCCAAATCAAGTCTTAGCGGCGGAGAATCGTTCTTTAATTATGGGAATGTATAAGGGACCTTTTAAAAATGAATATAGATTAGCAAAATATTTAAGGCCTACTTTGAGGCATACTACTCAATGCTACAATTTTTTATTGTGAGATTGAAATGTGGAGGACCTCCTATGCTACATTTTTTTCTAATAACAGGCAAATTCTATACCAACACCTTGATAAAGAAAATTAACCTCCAAGAAATTGTATATGAAATTTATTGAATTTTCCGAACTAATAATTTTTGTTCAATTGCAGTGCCTTTTGGTGTTATAAGATGTTATAATATAACCTTCCTTTGAGAGAACAATATCTAGAGGACATTTCAACGAACATACCTTCCTTTAGTTGAAATATCCGAACTCATCTCCTAGTGCCGGAAAATCTCTCTAATTATGTGAATGTATAAGGGATCTTTTAAACTCAATGTAGCAAAATATTTAAAGCCTACTTTAAGGCATAAAACCAAGTGCTACATTTTTTCTTTGAGAGAATGAAATGTGAAGGACCTCCAAACAATATTTTTTACAATGACAGACAAATTCTATCTCAATTCTTTGATAAGGAAAATTAACCTCTAAAAAATTTTTTAAAAAATGATTATTTTTTCAAACTCATTATTGCTGTTCAATTGCAGTTCCGGCAAAAGGAAAGGATAGACACATGGTTCGTTTTAAGAATATGCATAGAATCACTTCCTGTGGCCGATTTATGCATGTTCGGCCGTCCGTCTGTCTGCTGGTTCAGATTTAGATAAGCTCCCATATATATTTTCGTCGGATTTCATGTAAATGGTACACCAAAGATCCAAATTTGAGCCGATTGCCACAATATTTTGCACATACAAAAGTTACTTCAACCTACCGTGTCTAAAGTTTCGTCCGATTTTAAGTAAATGATACAGCAAATAATGGCCCGATAGGCATACAATTTTGCACAACGTACTGAAGTTACTATAACATAACGAGTGTCAAATTTTTGTTGAAATCGTTTAAGATTTAGATATAGCTTCCATATATATTTTCTTCCGATTTCATGTAAATGATGCAGCAAAGACCCAAAGTAGAGCCGACTGCCACAAAATATTGCACATCCTACGGAAGTTACTTCAACGTGTAAAGTTTCGTTGGAACCGTTTCAGATTTAGATATAGCTCCCATATATAATTCCATCCGATTATAAGTAAATGGTGCACCAAAGACACAAAGTTAAGCCGATTAGTACAAAATTTTGCACAACGTACTGAAGTTACTATAACATAACGAGTGTCAATTTTTGTTCAAATCGTTTCAGATTTAGATATAGCTGCCATATATAATTTCCTCCGATTTTAAGTAATATCCAAGGTTAGGCTGATTGCCGCAATATTTTACACATTCTACCGATGTTAGGGTAATCTAACGTGTGGCAAGTTTCGTTGAAATCGGTTCAGATTTAGCTTCTGATATATTTTCATTCGATTTTAAGTAAAAAAGTTACCGAATGTCATTTTTTGGATGAAATTGGAAAAAATTGTGTGTCTCCTTCTAATACACATAGGAATACCCTTTGTATATTGCAGGCAGTAACATTTTATAATGTACATATATTTCTATTTATATATTTCTTATGCTTTTATGATTTACAAATTAAATTTAATCACCGTAATCGAAATTTCGTGGAATTGATTTTAATCCTGCATTTGATTGTGTGTTAATTAATTCCAAACGACTGCGCCCAAAGTATTAAATCAAAGCTGGGCGCATGGAAATTTTCTTTTCCATTTTTTTCTATTTATACTATATGTATCCTAGAGGAGATATTTAAATGCCTATGACGGACGTTCTTTCTAACATACATGCATATTTTTTTTCTAGATAACTTGTTGTGTTATTTTTCATGATTCTGTCAAAATATTATTTCATTTTTTGCATCGTCATCATTTGTTTTCATTTTTCGAAACGTAGACTATTGCAAACAATAATCCTTATAAACAAGTTTCTTAATCATTACCGCTGTCCAGTTGGTGGGTTAGTTATTTTTGTGTCAATAACGACGACTATTAAGGCGTCATAAATATTCAATGTACATACATTTTCTAACACGCTGAAATGAAATGTCAAAGTTGTCAAGTCTTCGATGCAACAGTATGAAATTAGAATAAAGAAATAATAAATAAGTACCTGCTAATGCAAAAACATTTTGAAATAAATCAAATTATTAATATGATAAAAGCCGAGGAAAAAAATATTAAAGACGTAAGCATAGTAACCATCATTATGAAAAGAAAAGTAGGAAGAGAATGTACGAAATGGTCCCCATTTACTATAACAAACATCCTTGAAGTAATAATGTATATGCAAGGAAATGACTGAAGTCGGATGGTGCTAGCTATTTGATACCCTACAATACTTTGGATATATACAAGATGGGCTCTGAAAATCGTATAACAACGCATGGGTTACCAACCGAAATGCATTAAATAATCTTTAAATGATATGGACCGTACTATCGATCCAATAAAGATTTCATGCAGACTTTGTGCTAGGCCATGCGTTAATATTGAAAAATGTTCTCACCAATATACATATACAGGTTAAGATGAAAAAACTGCAACCAACTTCAGACTGCTGTCATTCTAAGCCACTCGTCCGACAGCTGTTAAAATTTTTCCAGTGACAGCTCATTATATTGTTTACAAGAGGACAAAAGTATTTTGGTGAGAATTTTCCAGAAAAAAGTTATTCGTGATGGAATTCAAGCGTCATAGTGTAATTTCTTTATATTTGGCTGGAAAACCACAAGTGGCTATCGTTAGATCATTTAAGGGAACGCACCCCCCATTCAGGATTTTAATTTTTCAAGATTTTCAATGGGCTGGTAAATCAATACCAATGCTTGTTAAGGTTTGTAACTTTGCACATATATATTTGAAGATTTAAAATAGAAGAAAAATAATTTACAAAAAAATGTTGTTATTATTTTGTTGTTGTTTTTTGTAATTAAAGAAAATTCCTTATTTTTGATGGCGGGCATGATAACTCCTCACTGGAACATCGGAATCCGAAAATTCCAAAGGTGTTAGAAAGAGTACATGTCTGGCTCCGGTGAGAATTAGGATTATTGGCTTCGGTATAAAATTAACAAAATGGCGGACCGTTTAAAATTAACAAAATGACGGATCGCCGATTTTTTTACCAAAAACCAAGTTAAAAAATAAGGAAGATCTTCACCGATTGGCTTTGTCCTAGTTCATACGATAGCTATACATTGCCAGAGAAACGTGTAAAAATTTGAAATCGATTAGGTTAATAGTTTTTGAGTTATCGTGCCCGCCATTCGCAAAAGAGAAAAACGCGTTTAAAGTTTGAGACGCCCTTCAGCCGTCACTTGATGCTGACACAATAAATCGGCTATATCTTCAAGAGTTCTTGAGATTTTACTTGAAATATTGTAGGGACATTCTTGAATTAGTGTAGATTCGAATTAAAACAACAAAAATTTTGACCCCGAGAATAGGGGGGTCCCCTTAAATGAGAATAAATCTTTTGTGTATCGTACCATCGCTCATTACCACGATACTGGTAGCGTAGCCCGACGTCAAGGAAGTGGACGGCAGAAAACAGCAACATCAGCAGAAATGGTTCGAAAAGTAAAAAAGCGACTTGATCGAAACCCGCGTCGCAGTGGCCGAAAAATGGCTCGTGAGCTGAACATATCGCAATATTCCATTCAACAAATATTGAAAAATGAGCTCGGGGTGAACCCATTGAAATTCCAAAAAGTCCAAGAACTTACACCGCAACAGAGAAAACTAGACTCAAAAGAGCTAAAGTGTTGCTTCGCTTGGCCGAAAGTGGTGAACTGGCTAATTTGGTTTTATCCGATGAGAAAACATCGTATGGAAAAAAGTCCGTCACTACAAAAAAAAATCTGCTCTAAAAAGGAATGTTCTGGTGTGATGCTAAATGTCCGAACCTTGACACAGTTGAATTTAATTCGTAGATGCAATTTCGCAACAATAGTCGACATAAATACAACTTATCAAGTAAAGACATTTGTAAGCCACATTGTCCAACGGCGAAACTCATCGCATAGTGGTGGGAATGTAGTATCTCTCTGGCTTTCCTTTTCATTGCAACTCCTACCATGTAGCTCATCTCGAAAGAGAAATTTATTAAAAAGAACATTTACATGAATGATCCTTCGCCCTAAAAGGGCATAAAAACAAACTCGAAAACATTCGTTGTCCAGCAGTTTGTAAACAAACAAAATGATCGTGTTTACTTGCCAAAGAGATCAGCTTAAAATGTGCACCTTCGGTTGGCCACCAGAACTCAAGCGCCGGCCATAGTGATAATGTGGGCCGCCATAATAGCCGATGGTCGCTCTCCGCTCGTATTAATCGACCGTGGAATCATAATAAATGCCGAATATTATCACGATAATATTTTGGAGGTTGTATTAAAGCCTAGAGTATGCAAACATTTTGGCCGCAGACCTTGGACATTCCAACAGGACTCAGCACGCGCCACCCAAGAATGGTTACAAAATGAGGTTCCTGGCTTAATTTCCAGCGCACAATAGCTACTAAAATCTCCGGATACCAATCCGTTGGTCTGTTTTTGTCTGGAGTATTTTGGAAAGCAAGGATGATAATAAAAAATACCAGTGTTTCATTCGCCGTTTGAAGACCATAATTCGTGCGAAACATAGACTAAAATTGATGCTATTTCCGACATTTTTATACCCTCCACCAAAGGAGGGAGGGTATATTAATTTTGTTTTTACGTTTGTAACTCATCGAAATAATCATTTCCGACCTTATAAAGTATATATTCTTGCCATGTCCGTCTGTCTGTTGTAATCACTCTAGCGTCAAAACGAATTGAGATAGATCGCCAACATTTTGCATAGAGTTATTTGTATGCAGGCAGGTCAAGTTCGAAGATAGGCTTTGTCGGTCCACGTTTAGGCATATAAGGGTACTCCCCCAATTTTCGGTTCTTGAGCGCGTCTTTCAACCGAATTCGCTGAAATTTGCTACATTGGGTTCTTATTGGGTACTAAGTGTCTCCACAAAAATAAATATGTGTCTCCAAATTATAAATATAGGTTCTCTTTTTCTGGTAGCCCCCATATAACGGTACCTCCTATTTTTCAGTACTTTGGCGGTAATTTAGTATTTTGAGTTCTTATTGGGTAGAATCTCTCTCCACTAAAAATTATGAATATAGTTACATTTTTTCGCACCCCCAATTTCCGTATTTTGGGGTTCTTGAGCTCGTTTTTCAACCGAATTTGCTGCAATTTGGTATTTTGTAGTCGTATATGGTAACAAATTTCCCTACCAAAAATTATTAATATTCGTACCCTTTTGGGGTAGTCCCCATATAATCCCCTATTTTATATTAAAATATTTAACTGATTTGTTCCGCGTTTTGAATTTGGTTCTAAGCCACTTTTGTTATCATTTCACCTGCGGAGGATAGCGAGATAAAAAATTGGAACGTAAGGTTCGATAATGAAATATAGGCGCATTTAGACCTAGCCCCTGTGTGAAGGTTCCAGAAGGAGAGGACCGATATTCCCCATCTTCGAATTTGAACGAAATTTGGAAGAAATATTAAGATGGGCAATGTTTGGATGAAATCTAAATTTTCTTAAACGGATTTGGTCCAAAGAAACATGGGGTCTAGAACCAATATTTCGATGACGCACATTTTCACCGTGTTAAAGTGTATACATCCTCATTAGCCATAAGGCTGAGGGTATAATTATCCATTAAAAAAATCTGAAATTTGTATTATGGTTTACATAATCCCGTTTTAGAAATGTCGGTATAGGTCCACATTTTGGTATGTTCCCTATATTTTCATTTCTAGTACCTGTCAGTATATCGTTGGTGGAGGGTATCCAAAGTTAGGCCCACTCAATAAAATTACAAAAAATGTAAAATTTATGGCGTTTGACTTTGTTGCAGTTTTTATGGTGGGAGCTTGGCGTACCATTTACAAGAAATTAAAGGAAATTGTACGTGGGAGTCATGTCTAAATCTGAACCAATTTCGAAACTTAAACTGTTCCAAATTTCGGCGTCAATTTATTACATATGGAAGGCTTGGTGTACCATTTCCAAACGTTTTACTAGAATGAATTTGGTATGCTACAAGAAATTACTTGCCAATCGCTGCATAATTAACTGTCATGAGGGGTGAGAATGTATATTTTCTATGGAAGGCTAAATTGACTTTTTGATTTTTTCTTACAAATGATCGACAGCATAACCATTTGTTACGGCCGCACACCTACGAGACATTGAATCAATAAAATGCTCAATTTGATCCTTGGTTTACTACTCCTTGTATCCTGAACCTTTGGGAAGAGGTTACGTCTGTTTGCTTTTGAAACTCTTTTTGAATTTGCTATCTATGATACTCCACATATTTTTCTACAAGGTAAAGATCCGATGATTGTGTTGGCCATTATATAACCCTGTTTTTTGACTCCAACAACCAATCCTTGACATGTATATTTTCTTCAGCGAAGGGAACCATAGCTTTTTCCAACACATTTGTATAAACAATCCGATCCATTACTCCATAAATCTCGTAAATGTATCGAACTCCATAAAAAAGGCAGCCCAATGCTATTATTGCTTCCCAGTACCCGTGCAGTACTGAGGCCTGAGTCTTTAATTTTTAAGCCTTCTCATGATATAGTTGCATAATATCAACTTTTAATTTGATAAATCACTGATTTATTCATAGAATATTTCTCCGATATAATTTTCATTTTCAATTATTTTCCCAAAAATAAATAAATTTTTAGAGTTTTTAGAGTTTGTCCAAACAAAAAAGTGAGATTATCCATACATTTTTATTTATTTCATAATGAATCTTGCATTAATGCTTTTGTTATTTTAAAAGTGAAATGGAAAATCGATGGCTTTACATTTGCTTTACTTGTTTTGAATAGAAGAGAAATGTAACAAATTGAAATCCAATATCCAATGTGCATGGTGAAGGCCGTTCTACAAAGACGGAGGCAACCTACCTACTCAGGAAATGCAGCATACAACGCCGATAAGTGGGGTTTATTTTCTTTTTAAACATTGCCTTTCGGCACATTGGCTGATAAATCAGAAAACAATATAACGAAAATCTCCAAACATGTCATTACGACACTGTTTGTTACAAGCTCCACTGGTACTGAACTAAAACTCTGCGATGTTTTAAAATAATCTCAATTCCTGTGAAATATTTTGCAAATGTCATTGCTTCATTATACAATTTTTCAGGTGAACACTTATTGCAAAATTAATTAAGTACATCGTTGGTACAATCGAAACCGATTACGTTCTTATTAAAATTACTTCAGTAAGTCCGCATTGCAGCTATATATAGCATCATTAACCCATTTAACCGCAATTTGTTTCGCTTGCCTATAATAAAAGGAAATAAAAGAAAAATTAAAAACACCGTTATGTTCTATACACTGGTGGCCAAAACTAAAGCGACTAAAATCGCAAAGTTAACATATTTTTTTTTTCAAAAATAAAGAAATCGTGATAATTTTTTTTCAGATTTAAATCGGGTACTTTTTTCACTGAATATAGTTTATCACAGAAAATGATTTCCGTGAAATATTCTATGAATAAATCAGTGATTTGTCGAATTATATGCAACTAAATCAATAGTAACAGTTCAGAACGGAGGAATTGTAATAGGAGTAAAACCAGTGAGCGGAGCAGTATAGTCGGACGGGGCCGACCTACACAACTACCACGGAACTCAAATTTTCTGCGTATGTTTATTCCGAGCCTGGGCAATATTTCGTGATATTTGCATCCTCTTGCCCGATTAGAGGTAAAAAGCACCCCTTGCTCACACTGACATATTTTCCGAACATTACGAGTATTCAGTACAGCTATTGCCCAGATTCCCTTCACCGTGGGTTGTGTTGTGATGTTCGGCTTTCATTTGTGGTCTATATATCGACTCGAAAATAACACAAAAAATTAAGTTTTCGGACCACTTCATTCCAAAATGATTATCTGATCATCACCGAAAATTATAGGCGTTGTCCTTGAACCTTATGGAACATTTCAAAGCGATCAGCGCTATAGTTCCGATCTATAGAGTGATAATGGGTTACTAAATAATATACGAATACGTGTAAATATTTAGGTGTAACTCTCACATCCGAGCACATACAACAATATAATTGGTATTAATTTAAAGGTCAACCACACCTCTTGGATATAATATCAACTTCTCGGGTCTATGTCATTCAGGGGTAAATATATACGCTATAGAATACAAATTTTGTCATTTTTCACACAAAAGTCAGGGTCCATTTGACCCGCTAAATATTGACCAATCTTTATCAAAACAGGCATGCTTATTATTTGGCCCGATCCCCTTCTCCATGCAAAATTTCACGATGTTCGGGCCATTATTGCGGCCTCAGGATCGACCAGAAAAACCGACAAAAATTTAGTATTTGGTCCATTTCATCCCCTAAATATTAACCGATCTTTCCCAAAAACAATAGGGATCTTTACTGTCAGAACCCATCCTACATGCAAAATTGCGTGAAGATTGGTCCATAACTGTGGCCTGTATCGTGTTTACAAATTATAATGGCCAGAGGGACGGACGGACACACATGTCTAGATTGACTCGGCTAGTCGAGATATGACGATCAGTATACTTAAAGGTGGGTCTAGGACCAATATTTCGCGGCGTTACAAACTTTTGGGGCTGCACAAAGCTATAATACCCTGACAACATAGTTGTGTAGGGTATAAAAACCCATTTAAGAGTTCAACGGAATTTGTTGTCAACGGTTGTCGTTGGATATAACCTCAAGAACAGAGCGTGAACGAGCTATGTCAGCAGGCCTTTATTTCTGAAAAGTATCGGAAAGCCAGATTGCTTTTCGCAAAAGTTTATATTAATTGAAATCCGACTCGATGGAGATATATAATGATCTGGGATGAGTTAAAGTTAAGTTTTAAAGATTCAGACATAAACAAATTACTGTGAGAAAAAAAATTGAAAAGCTCATGCCTCAGTATATTCAAGGGTACTGGAAAGCGTGAAGGAGGGCCAGTAATGGTATTGGACTGTATTTCTTTTTATGTAGTTCGATATATTTACTATATTTGTGATGTAACGGATCGGGTTGTTTTAAAAATGTGTTGGAAAACGCTATGGTTACCTTGGCTGAAGGAAATGTACCGCTTGTTTGAGTGTTTCAACTTGACAATAACCTTCAAACATACACCAAAACATGTCAAAGATTGGTTGGGGGAGTCATAAATCAGGGATTTATAATCGCCAAGCAATCAGCAAATCCCTTTATCCTATAAAAAAAATGTTCGGAGTATCATGGATAGCAACATCAAAACATAGCCTCCACTCATAGGTTCAGGATGCAAGGAATGGTAAACCCAAGGATCAAATTGAGCATTTTATTGATCCAAGGCCTCGTGGCTGTGCTGCCGTAATATAAAATAATGATTATGCTGTCGATTACTAGCAAAATTTGCTTATATTAAAAAAATCAAAAAGTTGCTTTAGTTTTGAAAATTAGTTTGGAAATTTTTTAATTTCAAAATAAATTTTGCGTTCGTATTTTTGTCAATGAATAAATTACCTATTTTTTCTGACAGAATAAAACTTTCACTATAACTTTATTTTCAAATAGTTACAGGTCATTTATTCAGTTGTCAATTTCAGTTGCTTTAGTTTTGGCTACCAGTGTATATGCAAGTCTATAACAAATTAAGCCGACAGACATGGATAAATTGATATTGAAGAATATGTTTCGGAAAATACAGTACATCAATTCGAAGAAATCAACATCAGAAAATACAGGGTCTTGTAGGATCAGAAATAATTATATGCGATTTGAACTTCGTCCAGACTACATCTTTGAATTTGAAAAATATTCGAGGTTTAATTTAAAAAAGTTGCTTTAGTTTTGAAAATTAGTTTGGAAATTTTTTAATTTCAAAATAAATTTTGCGTTCGTATTTTTGTCAATGAATAAATTACCTATTTTTTCTGACAGAATAAAACTTTCACTATAACTTTATTTTCAAATAGTTACAGGTCATTTATTCAGTTGTCAATTTCAGTTGCCTTAATTTTTGTCTACCAGTGTATATGCAAGTCTATAACAAATTAAGCCGACAGACATGGATAAATTGATATTGAAGAATATGTTTCGGAAAATACAGTACATCAATTCGAAGAAATCAACATCAGAAAATACAGGGTCTTGTAGGATCAGAAATAATTATATGCGATTTGAACTTCGTCCAGACTACATCTTTGAATTTGAAAAATATTCGAGGTTTAATTTAAAAAATTACATTTTATTAATTCAAAACAATCAATTAAAATGAATCCTAAATATCGGATGGAACATAAGAGAAAAAAAATAAAAATAAAATGGTTGTTTTTTTTATAAAAACAACAAACTGGGATTGAGCCCCTGACTATTTTGCAAAAACAAAACAAAAAAATATATATAAGATTTCTTAGCAGTATTTAATATCAAAATTGTACGAAATTGTTGGTTTAAATTTCCGATTTTTAAAAATTTGAAAAAAAATTTTGAAAATCCGCAAAATATCGTCGCTTTACATGAGGCCTACTTTGAAACTTAAGTCAATATTGAGAGTTTTTGGTAATAAGATTTAAAACCCAATGAATTTTTGAGTGAACCGCTCTATGGAGTCTAGCCCATATAGTGGGCCAAAATTTATTATTTTTGGTAATAAAATTAGGTTGAAAAAAAAGAAAAAAATAGGATGGATCGAATTTCCATCTGCGAAGCCTTGGCCGAACGGAATGAGATAGACCCATTTCTTAAACGGATGGAGACTGGAGATGAGAAATGGATGACATACGATAACCCTGTGCGCATCTTTGAACACGCTCTGTCATCCATTTCTCATCTCCAGTCTCCACTCCTGCCGTTTAAGAAATGGGTCTATCTCATTCCGTTTGGCCAAGGCTTCGCAGATGGAAATTCGATCCATCTTATTTTTTTCTGTTAAGGGAACACCCCCCCCCCCCATTCCCGATTTTAATTTTTCAAGATTTTCAATGGGCTGGTAAATGAATACAAATGCTTGTTAAGGTTTGTAACTTAGCACATATATAATTGAAGATTTAAAAGAGAAGAAAAATAATTTACAAAAAATTTTTGTTATTGTTTTGTTGTTGTTTTTTGTAATTAAAGAAAATTCCTTATTTTTGATGGCGGGCATGATAACTCCTCACTGGAACATCGGAATCCAAAAATTCCAACGGTGTTACAAAGAGTACATGTCTGGCTCTCGTATGAACTAGGATTATTGACTTCGCTCTAATATTAACAAAATGGTGGACCTTTGAAAAAATATTTTTGGAAAATCGCCAATTTTTTTACCAAAAACCAAGTTAAAAAATAAGGAAGATCTTCACCGATTGGATTTATCCTAGTTCATACGAGAGCTATACACTCCCAGAGAAACGTTGCAAAATTTGGAACCGATTGGATTATTAGTTTTTGAGTTATCGTGCCCGCCATTCGCAAAAATAAATGTTTAGATAAAAACGCGGTTAAAGTTTGAGAAGCCCTTCAGCCGTCACTTGATGCTGACAAAATAAATCGGCTATATCTTCAAGAGTTCTTGAGATTTTCACTTGAAATTTTGTAGAGACATTCTTTAATCAGTGTAGATTCGAATTATATCAACAAAAATTTTGACCCCGAGAATGGGGGGGGGTCCCCTTAATTGATGTGACACCCAAACATCAGCTTCTTTTTGAATCCAGCTTTGTGTAAATGGTTTGAAACTGTCTTATGGTCAATTCTTAGCTCCAGGGCGATGTTACGACTGCTAACATGCCGGTCAACTTCGATCATTTCTCCGATTTTCTCGACATTTTCGACGAAGCATCTCAAACTGGTCACCGTTTGAGGACTAACGGTATATACAGTGGCTCACCAGAAACTTCTGGAGCTTAGTTGGGAAGTTTTAATGCATCCGGCGTAGAGTCCGGACTTTGCACCAAGCGATTATCATTTTTATCTTGGATTGCAAAATTTATTTAATGATAAAAATTTGGTATCTAGGGAGGATTGTGAAAATCGACTACTAGAGTTTTTTGCAAATAGAGAGCAGGACTTCTATGAGAGAGGCAATATCAAGTTACCTTTAAGCATGTTAAATAAAGTCCTATAGTTTATATAAAAATAATGGATTTATTTTCCCCCAAACTAATATGTTCTACACAATGAGAAGTAAAAGTAGCAAATTACAGCCAATTTGGTTTCAAAATTATCACCAACTTGCTAAGTTAATATAAGTCGCACTTAATATGATATAACTAGGTTTTCTGGTATTATAGCTTTGTATGGCTTTCCCAAGAGTATGTAATGTACGAAATATTGGTCCTAGACCCACTTTTTAGTATACCGATCCTCACATCTCAACTAACTGAGTCTATCTAGACATGTGTGCCCGTCCGTCCGCCTGTTCATTATAATTTGTAAACACGATACAGGCCACAGTTATACTTAGAACGGTTGTTTAAATGATGATCGGACAATATTCCGACTCACAAATTGTTCAAAACCTAATGTGACAAAATTTTTATTATATGGCGTAAATATTCAACGCGGGAAAACAAGATTTGGAAAATGTACCAGGGTTAGAATGTTGAGCTATAGACATATAATTGGTTAAGAGGGTGCAAATATCGCAAAATATTGCCCAGGCTCAGGATATAGAACCACACAATTTTTTCGCTCACTGGGTTTTTAATTAAATTTTTACATACCCATTATTTCAAGGACTATATTTATATTATGGACAATAACTCCTATGTCTATGAAAGGTCGCTGACGGTCGCAAAATTCTGGACATATAATATATCAAGGCCTCGATCGGAGTTATTAGGTTTAGAGCTTTTTTTAAGTCACATACAAAAATTTTGAGCATTATCTTTAAATTATCATTGCCTGTTAATATTTTGACACATGTCTATGTTATATTACATTTTTCAAATATAAATTACATTAACAAAAATATGAAAACCCCTCAATGATATGACATTTTACCGGTGTAAAGCTCAAGATTTGAAATATTTAACGTATTTTTCCTCTCTCTCTCTCTCTCTCTCTCTCTGTTATTAACTATTTACCCAAAATTGGATTTCGTGGCCCACAGTGGTGCGATATTGAATATAACTTTCAAAATTTTGTGTTTCTTATAATTATTGATCAGGCAAAAGATTTCGGGCCTTAAAGGGTTAAAATGCATTAATGGGCTGTCTTTCTTCTGTTCAATGAACTTTTCCAACATACACACAGATAAAAATATACTATACATACATATGTGAAACATATGTGTAAGAATAACTGTGTAAGGATAATTATCACATTGAAATCCACTTACCTTATATTCATTTTTAATATCGCATATTGTAATCTCCAATTTCGGCAAATAAACCGGCGTCGACGAGATCCAAAAGGGAGCACAATGCAGACAACCCAATAACGTTAGGCCCAACAGAACCATTTTCGCTCGCCGAACTGTGCACATTGTCTGACGCTTTAAGGGATACATGACCGCAATGAAGCGCTCCACAGTAAATGCGACCACAAACCACACCGAACAGAAACAGGCCAGATTGCTGAAGAACGTAAAGAACTGACAGAAATATTCACGATTATAGATGTGCACGTCCATGAAGTTCAGCCACTGGATAAACAGGCCGAACAGGAAACAAGTATCGCTGACAGCCAGTGCGGCCAAATAGAAACTCGACGATAATTTGCGTAGCTTCGTTTTGAAGAAGACAACAACCGAGAGGATGTTACCGATGGTGCCGGTGCCGACAATAATCGGTACATAGTAGAAGCACAGGACATTGCCAATGTATTCAATGGTTTGCAGGACTTCGTTATCATTCTCGAATAGAGAACTGTTGCTGTTACTCGTGGACGAGTTGTTGTTGCTGTTGTGAGGCTGCATGAGGCTGTTATTAAGTTCGGTATTCGCTGTAAACAACTGTTGTTGTTGTAGTAAATTAAGTGTTGTCGTTGTTGCTGTTCCCGCCGATGTTGTTGTTGTCGTCGTGGACATGATAGTGGTTTCTGTAACATTGTCTATTTTTACAGGCCATGTAAATGGCTTTAATGGCTGAAAAGTGTCAATGTCAGTATTTGTAGTCATGTTGAAATGCTGTTCGGCAACCAGCTTCAAACTAAATGGCAAGTCATTAATTAAAAACGACCGTAGTCTGAATATTGTTGTTGCACAATCGGTTTTTTTCTTTTCACTTTACACAATTTCAATTCTGATGTGTTTGCTAAAATATCACTTTGTAGCTGGCGTTGCAGTGAAATTGTGGTTAGTAGTTTTATGTTCGTGGTATTGGTGGTTTGTTTTTGCATCCCTACATGATGAACATATATATATATATATTTTTTATTTAAACGCTAATTAACACATATGGCTTACTTCAATCAATAACCGCCATCAAATTGGCTCAAAACATGCACACAAACACTATTTGGATAAACAACAACGACAAATTTTAAAATATTGGGTTTGAAGTGAAAAAGCAAAATTTAGAAAATGGAATATATATTTATACCCTCGGCCTTAGGGCTAATGGGGGTATATTCACTTTGCTACGATAAAAAATGTAGCTCATCGAAATATCGGTTTTAGAGTGTACGGACCAAATCAGTTTCAGACAATGTGGAGTTGATTTACAAAGGTCAATTTATTTGTCTGTCTGGCAGGAGTAAACGATTTCATCCACATTTTGCACATCGTAATAATTCATCCAAACTTATATTATGTTAAATGATGGAAAATAACGGACCATTCCCACAAAATTATTAAAATTATCGGATTTCGCAGAGCCTAATATTTTAACTGAACTTTTTTAAGTTTAAAGAAGTGGCTTGGCGGTCCAAAGCGTCAAATTCCTTAACCACAAAAGGGTCAACATTTGAAATCGTGGCCAAACGCCACGTTATACCGATTTTTGAGAAGGGACCCACTCTAAAAAGTAGACCTACACACGGCAAATTATCTTAAATTTAAAAATGGTCGCAGGCGGTCCTTTAGCACTGCTTGACATTCTGAAACTCGTTTTCAATACCCTACACAACTATATTGTCAGGGTTTTATAGCTTTTATAGCAGCCCCAAGAGTTTGTAACGGGGCGAAATATTGGTCCTAGACCCACCTTTAAACATAACGGTCTCGACTAGCTGAGTCGATTTAGACATGTGACCGTGGTGATGGTGTGGGCCGCCGTAACAGCTGGTGGTCACTCTCCGCTCGTATTAATCGACCGTGGCATCAGAATAAATTCGGAATATTATCGCGAAAACATTTTGGCCGCTGACCTTGGACATTCCAACAGGATTCAGCACCACCGCACTCAGCACGCGCCACCCAAGAATGGTTATAAAATGAGGTTCCTCGCTTCATTTCCAGCGCACAATGGCACCAAAATCTCAGGATACCAATCCGTTGGACAATTGTGTCTGGAGTATTTTGGAAAACAGGGTTGGTAATAAATACCAAAGCAAGCGCTTCGCCGGGAAAGGTCCAAAATACCTCAGAGCAACATTCGGGCAGCGTGTGACGGTTTCATTGGTAGTTTGAAGGCCATAATTCGTGCCAAAGGTGACCAATACGAACAAATCTAAACTTATTCTAAAATTTGATGCCATTTAAATCTGAACCGATTTTCAGAAAACTTAACACTCACCATTCTAGACTTTATTCAGTACGCAATGTCAAATTTCGTGCAAATCAAAAGTGTTATATAGGGACTTAAATCGGATGAAAATATATATCTAAATCTTAACCAATTTTCCCCAATTTCATTGGGGTTCGTGCTTGGGCCAAATATATGAGCTGTGACAAATTTCATCCAATGCGGATTATAAAATTACAATTTAACCTGGACAGACAGACGGACGGACGGACGGACGCAGGCGGACACATATAAATCGACTCAGAAAGTGATTCTATGCTTATACTCAAAATGAATCATGTGTATATCTCATTTCCTGTTACAAACGTATGCATAAAGACATAAACCCCTGCACCACAGTGTTGTGAAGGACATAAAAACACCTGGTTCATAGCGTGATGTATTAAATAAATCCCAAACAGTACAAAAACAATAATTATTTGTTTATTTTATTTTTTTTTTATGTAGAGGCGAATTCAAATTTTAAATCTTAAATTTACAGCGAAAATGGAATAGGATGGGTGTAAATCAACAAGTATGTGGCGTTTTCTTATGTATATTACAACCCAACAGCATCGAACTTTCAACATAAGCCACATTCCGTTGCAAAATTACAAACTTCAATTTTAATTATAAACTTCTCTGGGGTTTCCGCTAACAAAGTAACGGGTATATGCTAAAGCTTGTACAAGTTCCATATGTTAGGTTGGAGGAAAATGAAATCAATTATTTTTATATGAACTATAAGACTTTATTTAAGATGCTTCGGAATGTCCGATTTGGGCCAAATATACACCGTTTTGTTGTATGACTTGTTGCCATTTTAAAGGTCAACTTCGACCATTTCTCCGATTTTATCGTCATTTTCGACGACCGGCCTACGAGGTGCATCTTTAACATCAACAATTCCTGAACGAAATCTATGAAACTAAAATTGAACATAATTGGCTGTTACAGTATCGGAACCAAACAAACACCATTCATAATTTTAGCCGCTTGGCTTGCATTTTCGCCAACGAAAAACTGTAAAATGTACCGAATTTTCTCTTTGTTTGAGCAAAAAAATACTGTGGAATGTTACCCTTTCAACGGGCATATATGTGAAATTGTTTGATACTTTACGAGAAATCTATCAAAAATCTAATGGATTTCTTTTTCCCCAACCTAATATTATTTTCTCCACGTACATCAATTATTTGCCACTATTTTTGGAGTTTAAAGACATTTTTGTAATCCGTCTACTACAAACTGTCGAAGAGTCTTAGTCATCATCATGCCTGATTGTTGTCGCTTTTCAGTTCATCGTACTACTAGTAGTCTTGGAAAATAGCCTTTTCAAATTCCCCTTGACTTACACTTGCCATTGGCTTTAGAAAGAGTTAAACTCCTGCTGCTATTGTTGCGAACAGAGATAATCTTTTGTTCTTTCGTGCGAACGACAATGGTTACCGACAACAAAGCTTTACGATGTTCGTCGGCTGTTATCTCTTTTGTTTTACTTGTTTTCATTCGTCTTCCATGCGGGCAGTTCACACGCCAACAATCATATTCTGAGGGTATATATCTGTCCGACACTTTTCTTACCGAATATATTTATGGTAGCTAAGTGCTCATACCATAGCACTACAGGCAAATCCGTACTTTTTTATTTTTTTATTTTTATTTATTTATTATTTTTTTTTTTTTTTTGTATACGGAATACAATATTCTCAGACTGCTGTCACCCCGAAGACTGTCGTTTATATTAAAAACTATTATTTTGTATTGACAAAAGTCATATAAATTTGTTTTGGTCGTAATCAATGGATCTAACTGCGAAATACATTCTTTAACAAAAATATATTCCGAGCAATAAAACTTTAAATATTTCATCCGAAATCAAACAATACAATCGAAAATTGTTAAAAAGTCTTATTTGATAAAATAAAAATGCATTTGTTATCCAAGTTATTTGTTTATACACTGCATACAAGATTCATTTCATTTCAAATTCCTTAGAACTCTTATTTAAATAGAGGCAATACAATAGCTGATTTGTTTGATTTGTTATTTGCATTTAAATGGAAGATATCTCAGAGTAGTCGAATTTATATTTTTAGACACATTGTTATACGAGTAGTGTGGCACACGTGGTACAATACAAGAAAAAAAAAATAGAATAAAATTGACTTTGGCCATGTTCGAGTTAATGCAAACAAACATATGGTAATAAAAAGTCAATCTCTTACTGTATTTATTCAAATTGCAGTTGATGCGAAATTTCTGTTAATATATATCCATATATGGGCAATATTGCCAATTTTTTAATATTCCATTTTCAAAAAATCGGCTTTTTTGTTTTCGTGGTACATCAATGATTTTTGGTACGCATATAGAGAAAAATGTTCTAACTCCAAGTTATAGAGGTTTTAATGTTGGCCGTAAGGGAAAAATCTTAAAATTACTCGTTCTATTAAATTGACCAAAAACGTTCATATATATGGGAAATTACAAAAATCTTTTAAATTCCTTGAAGCTGAGGTTTGCAAGGTTTTAACTCGCGAAATATGAATATATTGCATATAATTTAAATTCATTTCTATAAAATGAAGTGTTTTTGTCATAATCTTAAAATATTGGTAATAAATAATAAGTTGCGTGGAAGCTGTGATGGTGGTAATGTAAAAATATGGGTGAAAATGTGTTGAAGCCAACGAGTTTTTTTGTGTTCCTTCCTGATTTGTGGCTAAACTACACGACGCACGCACATGTAATCAGTGACTAACTTGCAGAATACCCCATGGACAATATGGTTCTAATGTATGATTTTTCGATATAATCACTGCATCCACCCAAAACGGATGCTGAAATTTTGAAGCCGGATTTTCGGTGTTTTTTGAATTTATCTTATAATTAGGATGCGCATCTAGATAATGGACTAAACTGATTATAGGATTGTAGAACTCGTGATTTTGCTTAGTTTAGTGTATATCTCATGAATGTGCTCACCGTAGCTTCTTTGCAATTGGGTTCCAAAGACGAAAATTTGGTGCGTAAATTTGTATGAAAAACATATTTTTTGAGTCTAAAATTAAGAAAGTCCATTCAAATTCCTTGGAACCCCGCGTGATTTTAGTTTTTTTACGTGCCGGATCTAATGAGCCCATCCGTGTTTAATTCCGCCCAATAAAACGGCGGATATAGGTACCTTGAATGTGGGAAAAACTGCAAAAACTTATTTTGACAAATTCGCGTATATAATCGCGTTTTTCTTCGAATTGATTTTAAATACATTCATGCTTGTGTTATCATATTCGCGAATCTGTGTGAAAATAGGTCAAAAATATATCGATACGCGAATAATATGCGTATTTTATCCAAAATTGATTGTGGAGGCACATCCGCGGTTCTTCACCGATCCTTTTAAAATAGGTGTCCTTTTGTGTATTTTCATAGGAGATTACTGAAATCGGATGCGCATAAAAATCGTATGCACTTTGCGTCATTTTTAGCCATTTTTAAGGTTTTTGCATAGTAAATTGCATCGAGCGGCACACTTTAGCCGCTAAATGAAACATCGAAAAATTCATAATTGTTGGAAGAGATTGGTTCGGTTTATACGAAAACCGCATGCGCAACAACTGATTTCCGCGAATACGCGAATTGCATTCTTTTCAATATTGACCATTTTTTATGTATTGTAAGTGCAATATATTTAGTCAGTTTTAAAGTCGAAATTCTTATCAGATGAATCTACCGATATTTAACAATCATGCAAAAGAATTTGCAGAAGAAAGCGTCATATATTGTAGAAGATTAAGACAAAACCGTATTCCCTTAACCACACTAAAAAATTGAAAATTCAGAAAAAAGTTCTGTTTTTCGCGAATATTGTACCGTATTTCAATGTGATTTGACAAGTATGCAATGAAAACAAATGTGTTAATCCATTTGTGAAGAAATTCGCGAATTACAACAAAAAGGAATCCATTTAATATATATTTGAAATTCAAGATTTAAAACCGCTATAACTTTTGTGCGCAGCATCCAAATTTGTGAACGCGAACAGATTTCGAATAAACATATTTTTCTTAACCTATGTACCAAAAATCATAAATGTTCTCGCAAAAAAATTTTCACATTTTTTTAATGGAATTTAAAAAGAATTTTGTAATTTCCCATATCTTCCTTCGTAAAATACGAATATGAATATATAATAATAATCGCGAAAAAGTTGCACATTTTCGCGAAATATGAGAAAAAATATTAAAAATATAGGAGATTACGTCAATATTTTCATTATATTAATGACATGTATCAGCCTAAAAATTAATTTAAAATTATCTACATAATCTAAACACCATGATGAATCAAATGATATCAAAATCACACAAGTCTGTGTAGCGGTTTGTAAATTACAGCGACAACAAAACAAGATATAGAGGAAAAAATATCTGTTTTTGATTCGAAGAAATAATGTCATCATATTTATTTTTTTAATTGTATACAAGAAATTTCAGAAAAATGTGTTGAGGTCATTCTTCTATTTTACCCGAATTTCGCCGAAAAAATTATATATATAAAAATAATCACTTCGTGTGTATAAGTATACAACTTGCGGATTGTAGCAAGATTCTTCCGATAAATCTTGGGGTTCTATAAGTAGGAATAAATCCTAAAATAAAACTATATTATGAAATATACATTTTAAATTGCGTGTAAATAGCGTAATTAACAAAATCATTTGATGCGCATGCGGTTTCAAGGAAGTTCTGAAGTTTATCTTCCAATCCATGTATATTTTGCGAAATTTCATTTGACGGCTAAGATGTGCTACATGCTGCATTGAAGTACCCAAAAACTCGTAAAACACGAATAATTTCCGAAAACTCCATTTGCCATTAACGCGCATCCGATTTCGGTGTGCACCCTAAAAAAATACATCGATTTATACCGATTTCAATGTGGTCCATTAAGAACCATGGATGTGCCAGATCGCAATATTTTTGAGATAAATTGGGTACATCTTTATTTCGGCTGAAGTTTTTAAAGTTCTCTTTTCGAAAAAGAACAAAATCCGTATGAGGTCATTTATTGAAGCGGAAATGATCCACATAAAACGCTAATAAATCCGCCATATTTTCAAAAACATTTTTTGCCAAATTTCGTGTTTTTGGAAGGCCAGTTCCCACCGTTCTAGTAGATGGATTTTCACGAAGTAGATTTTATATCATCCGAAACGAAAAAAAAAACCTGATCGCGGGTAACCATATCATTCAGTTGACAGATCTAAAAATTTGATCCGAAAAATAGTTTTTTTAGAAATTTGATCGCACAAAATTTTCACCATCGGATGAGTATTACTCTGAAGCTGTGCATACTACATACACAAAATACATATCAAATTACGCAGATTCGTACAATAATCTTATAATCGATTTTTAGAAATTCCTGTTTGCGTATTAAAACTAGAAGTAAAATTAAAAAAAAAACACTCAAAATCGAGCTTCAAAATGTCAGCATCATTTAAAGGTAGATGCAGTTAAAGTTTTGAAAAATTATATATAAGGGGCGTAGTCCCCATTTTGTTGGCTTCTAGTTTTACTTTGACACGAAGACCGTGAAATGAGTGGCTTAATCACAAATCGATAGATAATATAAAAAACTGGTTCGCCTCAACCTGTTTTTACACATTTTTTTACATTAAAGTAGACGCAGCTTCCACCAAAATAAAGTTTGGAAGTCAATATCATGAACAGTTTGCAACGACAGATCAATTAACCCAAAACTATTCACTAATTCCCGAGTTATAAAGGGGTGAACCTCCGCTTAAGCTATGTTAAAAAATTGCAGGTAGCAAAATGTATTTTATTGGGGAGATAATGCAACGAAAAAATAACCAGTAAAGAAAGTAGTGAAGTCGGACAGGGCCGACTATATGATACCCTTTACCACTTTGCGTATATTCAAAAGATCCATCCTAACATACCTTTATTTTTGAAGGATCATTGACATGAAATTGAACTAAATTAAATATGCGATTTGTGTCTATATGTGAACTTTGTTTTTTTCCTTTTATAACTCATTGAAATAATATTTTCTGAAGTATATATATTCTTGATCAGCATAACATTCTATGACGATGTCTGTCATGCTAAATTCCGTTTCATTATTTTATGATGACGTCTGTCATGCTAAATTCCATTTCATTTGGATAGATTTAGAGTCGTTTTTGTGCAAATGGACAAAGTTATGTAAATCGATTTAAATCAAACTATTCATCATCCTAACACAGAACGCTGTTCAAAATTTAATCTCAATTGGACACCAGGTCATTATTTGGTGCACAATTAACATGAAGAAACAATTTTTACAAAAAGTAATATTTTAGGCTTAATTTAATATCATAACTAAACACATATTAGGCTATACTAACGTTAGTACGTTGTGCGAAATTTCGTGCCAATTGGTCTAAATTTTACTCTTTGGTACACAATTTACTAAAAATCGGACGAACATTTAGATGGGAG